TCTATGAAGCACCCGGGGCGGCTTCCATCATATAATAACCAGTATACAATATATGTGTGTGTGTGTATGTGTGTGTGTATATATATATATATATACATACACACACACACACACAGTAAAAACAGTTAGAACTCCAATAAAATACAGTAATATTCCTATCATACAAAACAGCTTTGAATTAATATCAATGAAGTTTAATCCAATTAAGAAGATATAGAACAAAACAAGGAAATAATATAAAGTCCAAGTATTTTTTTAAAAAAGTGGAAATAGTTTATTCTGTCTTGGGGGCAGTGTTGGATTTTAGACTAGGTCATGCCCCCCCACCGCCCCCACCCAAGGAATGAGTGCTAGCACTTAAAAATATGGTACTTCAAATGACGTAGATTCCCATCTGTGATGATGCTACAGACATTCCTGGCCTCTACAACAGCGGTTGTGCCTTTGGGGAGGCCGAGATGGGCCTCCAACCCCCCCGCCCCCCCCCCCCCCCCGAGCTCCAAGCAGTCTGTTCTGAGGTATATCATCCAATTCCAATTTGGGTGGGTGGAGACCAACTTAATGTAAGGGACACCCCCCCCACACTTTTGGGCCTCATTTGCCCACTGTTTCCCTAACCACGCATGCTTCTCCCCCCATGTTCTGGATATAGTTGTGAACCTGGCGCTTGCTTGTAAAGATCCATATAGAATTTTCTCACTATTTTCACACTATTTCTTTCAAGTCTTCCATCCCGGTTTTTATTTCTTGCTTATCGTTCTTTAGGGCTATAATGGTTCTTTTCTCCTTTTCTTTCTTAAGTCTGTATGATAACCACTTTGTGGGTTTGTTAGCGTTTTCGAAATAATATGCTTTGGTGAATTCCAACTTACTAGCAATTTCTTGCGTTAATAATAGGTTTATTTGATGTTGTATCAGTTTTAATTTAATCATTGTCTCTTATATCCTCTTCTTTTTTTAAGTCTAGTGTGAGTTGATTCAATTTTTCTCTTTTTTGCCTTCTCTTCCATATATCTTGCGTCAAAAATAAACCTCTCAAATATGCTTTAAACGTGTCCCATATTATATTCAACGACATGTTTTCCGTTTAATTTACCTTGAAAAATTCCTTTATCTCTATCTTAAGTTTTTCCACAAAAAAAAAAGAGTTGGACACAACTGAATGACTAACAACAACAACAACACTTGTAAAAGAGAACTGTCACTGTCCAGTAGAGGTTGTAAGCCGCTGATGATGTGCTGAACTGTTTTCAATGCTCCCTCTAAAATGTGGAGTCTTGTGAGCAAAAATTCTACTTTGTGAGCTACCGGCATTAAAGTTGGGAGTGAGTGATTTGGCTGCTGTATAAATTAGTTTGCTCTGGAACCATCCCTTCCTGAGCTAAGACAAAAATGTGTGAGCCAGAGGCTAAAAAACTGTGAGCTAGCTCACACTCAGCTTAGAGGGAACACTGGTTGAGCGGTGTATGTGACTACTCATGGTGTTCTGTTATTGTGGACAACATTTCAGCCTCCCGAGGCACTCAGTGGGGGGAACCTCAAAGTCGCTGTTCTATTATAAAGGAATTTCAGAAACAGATTGGAACGGAAGTTATTACTCAGGACAATGGAACCCAAAGGGCTTAACAGAGAAATCTTGTTCTTATCTCATTATACATGCTAAGTCACTCAGTTCTCTCTTATACCCAAAATCAAACTTTGTTGGTCTTAAATGTGCCACTGGCATACAAACTTAGTTCTCACGTCTGTTAACTCTTTTATCTGTATGCTAATTTGCTGCCATTCACAGGTATTACCAATTGTGTTAATCCAATCTTAGCTACACTTATGGCTCAGTTACTTATGCATCTTGACTCTAATTAGCCTTTCCTAGCCACTAGCCCCCTTCTACCTATGTGCAATGCTTGAAGAAGTCTGTTTCAATGTATCTGAAGAAGTGTGCCTGCACAAAAAAAACCTTACACCAAGAATTAAACTTTGTTGGTCTTAAAGGTGCCACTGGGCTCTGTCTTTTTTCCTGTTGCTTCAGACCGACACATCTACCCATCTCAATTTAAGGGAACATTGTCAGTAAAAATTAATTCTATGGAGAGCCATAGCAGAAGTTGCTTCTTTTAACGAGGAAGCGCACAGATGCGGTAAGGCTGGGGGCGCAGGGTGAATCCCGTTATGAAGTCAAGGCTTAAGTTCACGTCCTTTGGAGCCTGGAAAGTGAATTTCTGGAGGAGGGCAGTGAAGAAAAGAAAAAGCTCCGTCCTGGCCAGCTGCTCTCCAAGACAAACTCGCTTTCCTGGTAGAGGAGAGGAAAAAAAAGATCATGTTTACTGCAAACTCTACGGTTCTGCATCAGCAGCAACGGTATCCCCTAGCAGGAGAAAAAGCACTGCTCCCACGACGGGAAGCACAATATTGTGCTGGGAGAGGTGAATACCATCTTCTGCCTTGAGGACATTCCAAACCAGAGAAGGGGTGGGTTGAAATGTGTAAGTGAAAAATGGCCTGGATGCCCATTTTGCCACATGTATATATTTTGCAAATTACAGACACAACACCAAAGATTCTATTTACTCAGGGGTACTATGCTCTATCCTGCCAACCTAGCAGTTCAAAAGCAAGAAATTGCAAGTAGATAAATTGATACCACTTCGGTGGGAAGGTAACAGCGCTCCGTGCGCCTTGGTGTTTAGTCATGCCAGCCACATGACCACGGAAACGTCTTCGGACAGCTCTGGCTCTTCGGCTTGGAAATGGAGATGAGCACCGCAACCCTAGAGTCGGACTCGACTGGCTTTCGAGCAAGGGAAACCTTTACCTTTTACTATGCTCTATAGGTCAACATCTACTGGCGATCTCCGGCCTGAAGGATGTCCGCCTAGCCTCAACCAGAGCTAGAGCTTTTTCAGCTCTGGCACCGTCCTTGTGGAACAGTCTCCCGAGTGAGATCCAGGCCCTGTGGGACTTAATGAAGTTCTGCAGGGCCTGTCAAACTGAGGTGTTCCACCAGGCCTCTGGTTGGAGGTGGCGCTGCTCTGTTCCATCTGCATTGTTTCCATCTTGCATTGATTTCTTCTGTCCGTCCCCCCTCAGTTTTAGTTACAACCACCTGCACACATATAGGGAGTCTCCAGGAGCAGATGGATCTTGCCATTGACAGTAGTTTATTAGTATAAATTAAGATATTGATTTTAAACTGTTTATTATGTTTTAAAAGAAGAGGATGAGGAGGAGGAGGAGATTGGATTTATTCCCTGCCCTTCACTACCCGAAGGAGTCTCACAGTACCTTACCATCTCCTTTCCCTTCCCCTTTTTCGAAATATGTGTGCTGCAAGGTCTAAAATTCAGTCATTATTGGGTTAATGTGTTTACCTTGTGTGCTATTGTTTAGACTGACCTGGAAGGCAGCCTGGCCACCACCCCCTTCCATATAGGGGGCAGTGGCCTGGCACAGAGCCAATGAGAAGACAGCCTGGGAAAACTATGTCTGTTTACTAGCAATCATTGGTTAAAAGTAGTCAGGTGATGTCCTTCTAGGGGTCAAGAAGAAGAGGAATCCCCATTACAGTCTGGTGTGTCTGTTGTTGTAGCAGGAAACATGTAGACTCTAGTGTTTGTTGTTTTGTAGATTTCCCTGTGTACCTTTCCCTTTAAAGATTTCTACATAGAAATTTGAGCTCTGAGAGTACTTGTAACTGACCCAAGGTCACGCCAGCAGCTGCATGTGGAGGAGTGGGGAATGAAACCCCGTTCTCCCAGATTAGAGTCCGTACACTTAACCACGACACCAAACTGGCTCTCCTTCTCATCCCTTGTTGGAAAGAATGTACTTAATCGTAGTTTAGTAGCAAAGTCTTGTTAATGTTATGAACGGAAGCACCGGAGGGTGTAAATATTTCCCTATGAGCTATTAAACTAGTAAAAGGATTAACCCCCCGCCCCCTTTACTCACATGGTACTGGAATATTATTCTGTCTCTGTAATTACACATATGGACCTCCATTAGATTTAATTACATTTTAAACAGTGTTCAGGCAGTTGGTCGTTGTATTTGGTGGGACATCTAATCTCCCGTTGTAAATGCTTTTTTCCTGCTGTAGGCAATTAAGCTTTGTGCTTTATGACAAATGACGTACTCTTTTTAGGAAATATGTCATCAAAATCAATCCCAGTGACCCCAATATTTCTCATCCCGCATCAGTGCATAATCAATAAGAACATAAGAGACGCCAATGTGGGATCAGGCAAAAGGCCCATCCAGTCCAACACTCTGTATCACACAGTGGCCAGAAATACCAGTGCCATCAGGAGGTCCACCAGTGGGGCCAGGACACTAGGAGCCCTCCCACTGTTGACCCCCCCCAAGCACCAAGAACACAGAGCATCCCTTGCCCCAGAGCCCCTATCTATACCTTGTGGCTAAAAGCCACTGATGGACCTCTGCTCCATATGCTTATCTAATTCCCTTTTGAAGCCGTCCATGTTTGTAGCCGCCACCCCCTCCTGTGGCAGTGAATTCCATATGTTAATCACTCTTTGGGTGAAGAAGGACTTCCTCTTATCCGTTCTAACCCGACCGCTCAGCAATTTCATGGAGTGCCCACGAGTTCTTGTATTGTGAGAAAGAGAGAAAAGTACCTCTTTCTCGACCTGCTCTATCCCATACATAATCTTATAAACCTCAATCATGTCACCCCTCAGTCGTCGTTTCTCCAAGCTAAAGTGCCCTAAGCGCTTTAACCTTTCCTCATAGGGAAAGTGTTCCAACCCTTTTATCATTCGAGTTGCCCTTTTCTGCACTTTTTCCAAAGCTATAATATCCTTTTTAAGGTGTGGTGACCAGAACTGCACACAGTATTCCAAATGAGGTTGCACCATTGATTTATATAGGGGCATTATGATATTGGCTGATCTGTTTTCAATACCCTTCCTAATAATCCCCAGCATAGCATTGGCCTTTTTTATTGCAGTCAAACACTGTCTCGACACACTGTCTGCCCCAGGTTTTCTGCTACACAAAGGTACAAGGGTAAACTGAAATAGATTTCTTGCTCACTTATTTAGTAAAAACTCACTGTGATATGAAATTGTGTGAACTACAGCCCTCTACATCAGACATGCCCTATACTGGTAAACATACATAAAATTAGACGCATGGCTTGTATCAGGGCCATTTGTGGGCCCAGGTGAAATCTTGGTTCAGGGGCCAATGGTGGCTCTGGGCAGCCCTGAGCGTACTTACTGGAAAACGGGAAAATCTTAAACAATTCTGTAATCAGTCACCAGGCGGCATGTCTGAAGCAAGGGCTGGACCTGGAAATCTCCGCAGAGTGTCCGAGGTAATACTTTTAAGCATTTAATCAACCGTTACCTGCAGAGAATGGCAGGAAAGCTTCCCTCTTCTTGAACTGACCACTTTCCAAGAAATGGCCGGGATTAAAGGCATCAGGAGTTTCCCACTCCTCCTTATCAAACAGCACTGATGTCAACAAGGCGAAGACAACAGTTCCCTGAAAAAGAGGAAACGGTGCAAAGCAGAAAATGGATTAAAACATCATGGCTCAGTACAATGATCTTTGAAGTCTACGTTACTGTTTGGCCCTGGCATACTGAACAAGGTTGTGTTTGGGCTGAATTCAAACCCTCTATTTATCAAGATATCCATGGAATTGTGTGTGACCATGGGTTCCCATCCCCAAACATTCTCAAAACGTGGAACTATTAAGATCTATTAAGATCCAGCATTTATGAATTACTTATTTACGCCCCCGGCCACACGTGCCAGAAAACGCAGGGGGGTGGGCATGGCTATTTGCGCTGTCACATTCAGATCTGCCATTATGTGATCAGACGTGACAGCGGCGCACCGGGGTTTCGTCCTTTGGCGCACACTGCAAAGAGGGAATAGGCTAGCGCCAGCCTGTGGTAAACCATTTGCTAGTAGATCTTTGCAGGTACTCTTCAACTGCACATCTTCGGTGTCATGCCACAGGTTGGCCATGGGTGTGCTACACTTGCCAGATGTTGCGGTGTGATCGTGCCCCGAAAATCCGCCCAGCATTCGTGCCTTTCGCGCAGCAAATTCTCTGTGTGACTGGGGCCTATAGTAGTTATGTCTGCCATTCTCCATATTTATATGTTCAAAGTGAGGAGGGTTGGAAAAATGTTTCCAAATGGCGACTACTGGATATTAAAGCCACTGGGAGGTTTCGGACTAGCTGAAATTGAGACCCGGACACCCGGTCTCAGTTCTACTTTTGTCAGGGAACCAGAAGGAACCAAAAGGTCAAACTCCCTCAACCCACCAGCATTGGACAGATCAGAGCCAGCTGTCTCCAGACGACGATATGCCACGATCAAGTGCCTGCCAGTAAATGCTTGCAGGAACAGTAACTGCAGGTGACCCATGTAAGCAACACTCTGCAAAGAAAGGCAAAGTCTCCCAAGGATATTAACCACTGGGACCTAGCAGAAGATTCTTACGCAACTCTAGATCATATGGACAGAATCAGGTTGTTTTGGCTGATCCCTGCTGGACTCTGACATCTTTACGATATCTCTTGTTGTGAAGATTCCCAACCCAAGAAACTTGACATGCCTGTTTTTTATCGATCACGCTGTGGCTGCGGTTGCGACTGTAGCATCAGGGTCAGAATAATGATAGACAGAGCGAAGGGGCGGGGCTACACTGAACAATAAATAACACTTCTCTCCTGAAGGCCATTGAAAGTATATAGTTACATCTATATGCTCAGACCTTTCACTTAAAAGATTCCCCTTTGTTTAAACAAAAAGGAAATAGGAAATAAACATTTTTTATTTACTTTTGGCAAATGAAATCCAGCCAATGTGGTGTCACGACTTGTCATCCGCGGAGCATTGAAAGGTATAATGTTGCTTTTTCTTTGAATTTCGTGAACAACTGCATTGGTATAGGGCATGTGTTCCCGGTCATCCATGGTGGGCTGGCGGGACTGGCCAATCACAGAGTCTATTTCACCTTGCACTTTTGCTATCGAGAAAACAACAGTTGCTGTCAATAGAAGGAAAACCAGTCCCTGAACTCTCAGGCAGTTACGTTTTCTTCCAGCAAACATAGTACAATATCAAGAATGATGAATGTGCAACTTTCAGACACTATACAAACAGTATGCATTGGAGATTGCATTGGGATTGCCTAATCAACAAATGTATCCCAAATTTGCTGTTTATGGTTGGTTTGGGAAGGTCTGAAGCATTGAAGATACACTTAAAAATTGTGGGGATTCCATTATGGTGGTTCCCAAAATGTCTGGATTTCTGAAGACATTCAGGGCCTGGCCGCTGTTCTCGGCCTTGTTTTGGATTATTTTTGTTTGTATTTCCCAGGCAACAGAATGTAGAGGCAGGCCCGTAACTACAGTGGGGCTTTTGGGGGCTTCGCTTTTTGGATGACGCTTCCATCTTAGACCCCTTCCAGTCCGGCTTTTGCCCAGGCCACGGGACGGAGATGGCACTGGTTGCCCTCATGGATGACCTCTGGAGCTGCGGGGCACTTGGAGAATATTGGGCAGGGAACCCAGGGCATTTAATTCCCCCGGGGGGGCGGGCTCTGGGCTCGTTTCTGCTGGAGTGCCGCTCCGGGCGCTCCGGGAGGAAACGACCCCTGCTGTGGACCACCCAAAAGACGTGAGTGGGTTCTAGATCAAATTGAGCCTGAGCTCTCCCTAGAAGCTAAAATGACTGAAGCTATCGTACTTTGGTCACATCATGAAAAGACAAGAGTCACTGGAAAAGACCATAGTGCCAGGAAAATGCCAGGAATAGTTGAAGGTATCAGGAAAAGAGGGAGACCCAACATGAGATGGATGGACTCAATCAAGGACTCAATCAGCTTGCAAGACCTGAGCGAGGATCTTAAGGACAGGACGTTTTGGAGGTCATTAATTCATTAATTTAGGGTCACCATAAATTGGAAACAGCATGATTTGGGCACCACAATTGAAGAAGGATATAGACAAGATGGAATGTATCTACAGGAGGGCAACAATAATGGTGATACAGGAATGACATGTGTACAATCCCCTCCCTAAATCAAAACACGCTTGCTTTATGAATAAATCATCTTTAAAAACTGTGATTTTTAATGCACGTGTAGGATAAAAGCTCCAGGATACAAGTGCCAGTCTGGCACTTCAGATATCATAACATAAGCGATACCAATTGTATCATGGAAGTCAGAAACCCAACAACGATCATTCTACCTTGAACTTCTGGATAAATGGCCATGTAGAGCAAAGCCCAGCGCAAGGTTGTGGCCGTCGTTTCTGTCCCAGCGAAAAACAGATCCAGTGTTGATTGGATCATATTTGCTTCATGGAAACTGGCAGGGGTATCCTCCTTTCAAAGAAAAGTAAAGAACAGAAAATACATCCAGAGCCTAAGAGAAAGAAAAATGTCATACTGACATCACATCGGGATTCCAAGACTTGCACCTCTCTGTTCCTAAACAAGGGGGTAGACTTTCCAATTTTTTTTTGGGGGGGGGCTGGACCTGGGCTGGAGGCATTGCTATGCTAGGTCCTTAAAAGAACCGAGGCCCAGTGACATCATAGGGAGGAGCCAGTGACATCACAGGCCATTGCCACTATCTATGGAGGCAGAGCCATGTGGGGTTTATGGAGGGGCTCCCCAGAAATTGAGGGGGGCCTGGGAACTCTTGGGAACCCCCCTAGCCATGCCCCTGGGCTGGGCTAAACTCAGGAAAAGGTGGGAGTTGGCCAGTGGTTATAGTGGTATCTCAGCAGTCTCTTGCTGTGTCCTTTATTTAATTCATTTTTAGAATAGTCACTTTAAGATCTGCAAATATACATATCATGTATATAAGACAAACAAATGGTCACAAATTTGAAAGTAAGGAGGGCAACACAGAAAAGCCTGGAGGGGAACATTTTAAAAGTTTTCCTGGACATTCATTTATAGGAGTCTTGTTTCTGCCTTATTCATAAGGGTGACTTTGTACTGAAATGTACAAAATTATGGCATCACAGATGCCTTCATTTGGTAAATGCAGGGTTGGAGTCTCTGAGCCAGAATACCAAACAGTTGCTGTGCACTCAATTTCTGAGCAATGTACAGAGTTCAGAGTAGCAGCAATCTTCTTCTCACTTCAAACTCATATCCTACGAGCACAAGTCCCAGAGCACTGAGCCTGTTCCCAGGGGCTGTCATTCCACTTTGCAACCTGTCATTCCTGTCCCAGAGCACTGAGCCTATTCCCAGGGGCTGTCCTGTCATTCCACTCTGTGACCTGTCATTCCAGTCCCACAGCACAGATTCTCTTCCTAAGGATTGTCTTTCCACACTGGGAGCTGTCAGTCTAGTCCCAGAGCACAGATTCTCTTCCTAGGGATTGTCCTTCCACTCTGGGAGCTGTCAGTCTAGTCCCAGAGCACAGATTCTCTTCCTAGGGACTGTCTTTCCACTCTGCGGGCTGTCATTCCAGTCCCAGAGTAGCCTAGTGGGCTGTCATTCCAGTCCCAGAGTAGCCTATCTGGGCCCAAAGATTAATGGAAAAACCACTCCACATTTTCTTTGCAACTTTTTTTGTGCTGCAATGTATTTCAGTGGAGCCCATGTATTTCAGTGGAGCCCATGCAAGTCAATTGTCATTCCTGGATCCCATTATCTCCAATGGGCCTTCAAGCATCTCCCATTGCTTCCAATGGTCAATCCTGTCATTCTTTTTATACATCTCAGTTAGTTGTCCCTTTGAAACTGTGCCACACCATTTTAAGTAACAGCAAAATGAAGAGCATGAACATGTACAGAGTGCACATTTCTTGCCAATGTTCTTTCTGGGCTGCACACAAGGCAAAAGGAAATATTAAAAGGCCTCTGATCTGCATGTCCCCCCCAATCTTGTTCATGCAGATAGGCTTACCATTTAAAAATGAAATGGAAATTGAAAGAAGAGCTTAGGAGTGGTTGAAGCAGCCCCCCCCCCCCAATGAAAAAAAACAACTGTTCTCAATCAAGGATATA